CGACATGTTTACTACGGTGAGCGAACTTAAGAGTGTTGTGTGTTTCTTCAGTATTACTAGAAGCTGGGGTCACTGTGCAAATTAGCTACAGAAAGGTTCGAGGAAGAATCAGAGCACTATAAAGCAGTCGAAGCTAGATAAAATTCCATAGATGAATGCTAAAATTACGAATTTTCACATTAAAACTTACGGAAACTCGACCGTGACCGCTAAGAGATGACTGCAACAAGCGTGTAAGTTTCGAATCTCGGTATGGTATGTGAGTGGATTTTCCGTCTGTCAATTTGGATATAACCTAAATTGTCAAAGACAATGTTAAGTCAAATGAAAAGAATTTAAAACATGCACAAAATGGAGTGAGGATAGCGGTCAAAAATTCAAAGTTAGATGCCAGATGTTCGGCAACAACTCAAAATTTTAATGGTCGTCCTATTTTCAAGCTAATATCAAAAATCATGCATCGAGAGGACAGAATGAAAGGACGTGGACAAGTGTCTTACAGTGCCAAGAGTGAGTAAGCTTTTATTGATGTATGAGCCCTCTTTTCGCCTCAACCCAATTGTCCCTGTTTTTGAACTTTCAGATCCTGCCAAATCAATTAAATGCTATAAAAGAGTTTAGTATGATTGTACCAAACAATGTTTACTAGAAGATTAGAGAAATTTCTACAGAACCTCATTCAACCAGAAATATCAGATGAAATGAATTTGTGAAGAAGAAAGGGGGAGAAGAAATAAAATAAAATAAAACTTACGCATTCAAAAGTGCTGGAAATCAACTCTACTTACAAGTTCTTCAAAATGTTAACAGAAGAAAGCAATAATAAATCACATCACGAACACATAAAACATACCAATTGTGACAAAGCTACTCCTTCATTTTCCCCATGTACACTGCTTTCTATAGTCTGTGAGATAAACAAACCATCAAAAAGGGTTAATGTGACACATATAAAACTTCTCCAGGGTTATCAAAAAATAGGTAAACCGATGTCTGCCTGCCCTAATTACTATCAAAAAAAAAAAAAAAAAAAACAATTTTTCAGAAGGCAAGGTAAGGTCTCTTTCATAAAGAAATACGGATGCAAGGTTTCAAAGTGCATTTCAAGTTATATTACCAAAGCCACATTAAGGAGCAAGAAGCATGATCATCATTATCTCAATCAAACCTATAGCAGTCCAGGTCTCACAAAAAAGACAGCAATGTCTATGAATAGCAATACCATAGAACAACACAAGTATACCAAAGCAACATAGATTGTTCGAGCTTAAATTTTAACTTTGTTGTTCAAACTATCTGCTACATATGAGTTTATAAGGTGAAACTGTACATGAACCAGGCCACACCCATAAAGGCTAAGGACTTGATTGTTTATGAGTTAATTTACTCACTTTTATTTCAACTCAAAATTTAACTCAACTTTAACTCAATCTCACTATCTTTAATATTATTCATATAATTAAATAATACAAACCAATCATTCTTACACATCACATCAACTTTAATTCACTATTCATCAACTCACATAATTTTAACTACCTATCATTTTTAATCATTTCCAATCATTTATCTCTTACTTTTATATCAAATCAATTTTAATCATTTTATTTTAAATATTATTTTAATACATTCTTAAAATTCCACTAACAACTAAACATACCACCTTTTTCAAATTAACTATGGTTAACCAAAATAACTCATTTTGAACAAATTATTTCATAAACAATCAACCCCTAAGCCCTACCATAGTCTTTTGTAAAGCCCGACAAATAGTTGTTGAAAGAAACCCATTTATAATTACAGTTCAGGTGAAATGTAACTAAATCCATTTAATCACCGACTAATGCAACTAAGACACATTTTTCTGAAAGTACAAGATAAATCCAAAGACAGCTTCATATCATATAATCACTTATATTATAGAACGGAATAAAAGCATTAAGAGTCATAATACCAAAGTAAATATGGTGTGGCTTCGACTGCTTAGTAAATTGAAGTTATTAGAACCCACATGCCTATGCTCTGCAACAAAATCAAAAGCAAATGAGGGTTCCCTTAAAACAAAAACAGTACATAAATGATTGTACTCAAGAATTGGACATCAGTTTACCTTCACCAGATGCAATTAGTGAAAGAGCGTGAGCAGGCGACAGGACAACCTCTTCTTTTATTCCTTCAACATAAATACCCTGCCAGATAACAATTTGGGAGTCTTAAACTCACATATGATTCTTAACCATGGGAGGTTTAATTTAAACTCACATTCTGTTTGTTCTTGAACCACAATGAATGAAGAGACATTTAACCAAACATGAATATATGAAACTCATGAATAAAAATAGAGCATTCCTATCAGTCAATTGTGTTAAAACGGTCAAATTTTTTGTATGTCAAAATGGATCGCCAGATAAATATACAATATTAATAAAGTTCTGTTTTAATTCTCTACATAACATTTTCTTTTTATACTATTTGACACTTGCCAAAGATCCATGTTATAGAGTATAATACATATGCAAAATAAATTTAGACGAAAATATTAACAAAAATGAACATCCATTGACATTGGCTTTCTAGTAATAATCTAAATATTGTTGTTTCATGTCATGTGACAGCAGTAAGGAGTAAGGAGATAAAATGCATGTATATGGAAATATTTGTGATAAACTAAAAGCGATAAAATCAAAAGCATCAGCTGTCTGAAATCACACAGTATGTATATGGAGATATTCATGACAAACCAAACGCAAAAAAACAGTATACAAATGTACCTGAGAGTCTTCTCTTATTCTTAGGTTTTGTCCAGTGGGATCAAGCAAGTCATTGATGACCTAGATTTCCAAGCACCAAGTCATAAAGAATCAGTATTGATGAATTTAAGTGGAAGCCTGCAACGCATTTATAGCACCTAGAGCTCACACTTTAGTTCTATTATCATTTACGCTAAGCATAAATGAACCTGGTTAGTACAGAAAGCACTAAAGTCAAGAGAATAAGCATCCTTCATTTAATTTTGTAATACGTTCATCATCATGCAATGATATGTCCAAGTACTCCATATGGACGCACAATATGAAAAAGTGGGAGTACCTGAGATGATCTAGTCAAGGATGATCAAACATTATTACGAGTAAAACATTTCTTTTTTAGCTTAAATCACTTCAGAACGTAAGCCCTTGCGGCAGTCAAAATTAATAATGGACACTGTGCTAGATATCGAAACTAACCTCATTGTAAATTTCCAAATAAGAAACTCGGAGCAGAAATTCCCGTCCAGGTGTCTGGTACAAGCACAAAAGGTAATTAATTATTTAGAGCAAAAGTTACCAAATAAATTAGGAAACGACAACACCACTCGACTCTTGTGCTGGCCCACTTAAAATAGATAAGAGCCTACCTCTTGTATCATCCCAAAGACGTCCTTGATAGCCAACGGTATGATTCCAGGTGATTTTTGTTCCCCCTGAGATAGAGAAGCAAAAAAATTTACGTCCTCATAAGTCTGGAATCAAGACATGTAATACACCAGCTATGTTGTCGTCTAATAAATGCATTTCCTTCATTTCTGAATTTTCTAATATCATGGTGGACAAGAATCATGGATGTGAAGAACAATTACATGCATCGTATGTGTCTTCCCACTGCTAGTAACACCATATGCGAAAACCGTGCCTACAAAATGAAACAGAAGAAGAAACAAAACTAGCATCAATAATAAGAAAACCAATACGAATGGGTACAGAAAAAATTAAATCCCATTGGATACGAGCACAGATCAGTCTCCTTTTCTTTCCAAACAAACAATATAGTTATGCTTTCAATTAGGAAAATACAAATCCCCCAACCAATTCACACACACAGACAAATACAAACGAAGGTGATACCATTTATTCCTTGCATGGCACCACTTACGGCATGATGAGCTGCAACATCATAAACCTGGCGTGTAGTTGTTGCAGGACCAAATACTCTATCTAGTAAAATAGAAGATTTTGGTTAGCTACAGCAACATTTTCACTAAACACTTTACATTAAACATCAAGACTGTATTTTCATTCAGAAAATCACATACTAACCAAAATCATATTCAATGTCGGAATTGAACTCATTGCGCACGGTATGATCTCCATCCGCGTACCAGGCGACCTCGTCGCCTTTACTAATTTCTCTAGCACTGCAATTGGCAAAAGAAAGATAAAAGAAAATTAATTAGCAGCAAAGTACAACAACAAATCACTCGACAATTTGAAATAACACACGCCCAAATCAAATTATCGAGATAATGTGAGGAGATGCAGCTAGAGAAAAACAAATACGGCCAAACAGAATCTCCTATTTTCACCTGAGAGGACGAAACCGCACGGTGACCGTGACATTTTCCTTAGCTTTGCCGGGAGGCGCCGTGGTAGGGTGCCGGGGAGCTTGTTGCTTTGGAAGCAGCACCGCCGCCGATGAAGTCGGGGTAACGTGGCCGGGCGAAGGTTTATGCGGCGGGGGATGGGTTCTCCTGGAGCGGAAGGGGGAGGCGGATGACCGGCGGGTGGTGGACGACATTTTGCGAGCTGGATTTTTTATTTTTTTATTTTTACCTTTTGCCGCTCGAATGGTTCCAAAAGAAAAGAAGGAAGAGAAAAAAAGGTGTGAGAGAGAGCGTTTGAAAATGGTGAGGGTGAATTTGAATTGGGGAGTGGGGACAAGATATCCGCCGTGGCAGTGGCGATGCACACGGTGGACCGGGGCGGCGGTATCGAGGCTGTTGGAGCCCCTTTTACCAACAAATGTATGCCTTAATTCCAATTGCAATAATAATGGTACGGTTGTTGTGGCAAAAGATGCCAAATATTATTTAGTATATGGATATATGGGTCAGAAACACCCACAATATTAATTAGTATTTATTATTCATATATAAGTTACTCCCATCAGAATGGTTACCGTCTTCTGTTGTCGGTGTGCTTACCGTCATAACGGAAAAAAATCGGGTCCTATCTCATTTACGTGAATGTCTACACGTTGGCACTTGTGCTAGGGACGCAAAGTTGTCCAGCATTGTGACTTCGAGAGTAATGCAACAAGTATAACCTATCTATCTCACTCATATTGTTACTCGAATTATTACAATTGAAGTCAACTTAGTACAATTAAAGAAATTAGTACAATTGAATTCGAATTAGTACAATTGAAGTCGAATTAGTATAATTGAAGTTGAATTAGTACAATTAAAGTCGAATTAGTACAATTGAACTCAAATTAGTACAATTGAACTCAAATTAGTACAACTGAACTCGAATTAGTACAATTGAACTCGAATTAGTACAATTAAACTCGAATTAGTACAATTGAACTCGAATTAGTACAATTAAACTCGAATTAGTATAATTGAACTCGAATTAGTACAATTGAAGTCGAATTAGTACAATTGAAGTCGAATTAGTACAATCAAAGTCGAATTAGTACAATTGAACTCGAATTAGTACAATTGAAGTCGAATTAGTACCATTGAACTCGAGTATATTATAACATATTACTATGATATGATATATGTTATATACTGTGATATGATATATGTTATATAGTACATGTGTAATAATATATGTTATATACTACATAATATAATACGTTATAATATATGTTATATAGTACATGTGTAATAATATATGTTATATACTACATAATATAATATGTTATAATATATGTTATATACTATGATATGATATATGTTATATACTACATATGTTGTAATATATGTTATATACTACATAATATAATATGTTATAATATATATTATATAGTACATGTGTAATAATATATGTTATATACTACATAATATAATATGTTATAATATATGTTATATACTACATATGTTATAATATAATATGTTATATTATATACTATGATATAACATATAGTAGGTAATATAATATAACATATAGTATAAATTACAATTTATTCTATAATCTATATTATATTTTTATGTATATGTATATAATTTGTAAAAAAAATAATCGGAAAGTGTATGCCGGCACAATGGTTCGAGGTGCGCCCAGAGAAATCGGACTCACCCATTGACCCGGGTTCGAGTCCCCAATCTGGGAGCCTCGACCATTTTTTTTAACATAAAACGGATTCTCAGAATCCGTTTTATAAATAAATCAAAAAGAAACGTATTAGAATACGGTTTATAAATAATTCAAAGTAAAACGTATTATGAGAATCCGTTTTACCTGTAGATATAAATAAAAATAATTTCTTCTTCTTCCCTACGCGAACATACAGAGAGCAGAGAAAGCAAAGCAAAAAAAAAAAAAAAAGAGCGGGCGAGAGAAGAAGACCGGATTCAACACCAAATTCATCAAGCAAGGTATCATTTCTTGTCATTTTTCTTCTATTTTCACGATTTGAAGAATGAATTGAGGTATAGATGATGTGTTTGTAGCAAAAACATGATGTTAGGGTTAACAATTTTTTCTATTTTTCATTTGTTTTGATATTTAATTTGTGAATTTATATGGAGATAAGTTGATGAATTGTTGATATGTTTGTGTGATAAATTGATGGGTTAATTTGAAATTGATTAGGGTTTTGTAGTTTGTTTGGAAAACTATGTTTTGAAGGTGTTCGATAAAATGCCTCAAATGGATTGTTGTACATAATTGCTTGTAGTTGGATGATTTGAACGGTTCGTTTCGATTATGTTAGCCATGTTTCATCCGGGATTACGTTAGCATTGTTCGGAGCCGTGAATAATGATTTGAATTAGAGATTTTCATATTAATCCCAGTTGTCTGTCGATATTGTTATTGTGAAAGTATAAGAAAAGGAATAATGCATGATATGTTTGCGATTTTTTATCCCGTTTGATGTGGTTTATTTCATTTTTTGATGTTTCGTCTATTTTTTTATTTTGTTGTAAATTAAGCTTTCTTATATGTAATGATTTTTTTTTTGTAGAAAATGGCATCCTCCTCACAGCCGCAGCGCTACACCGTCCATCCCGGTCCGATGGATCGGTCCCTTCTATACCTTCAGGACAACCACCGGGCACAAGCTGTATACGACGATGAGGAGGGATATCGTCACGGCGTGGTTAGAACCCGCCGTTTCGACAGTCAGTTTTGGAAGGCGTTGACGGTACAACATTACAAAGTCTGGAAGGTGATCGAAAGGATCGGTTTCGGGCCGCTTTTCAGAATGGGCAGAATACCGACAGAAAACAGCTTGATTACATGTCTAGTGGAGAGGTGGCGTCCGGAGACGAACACCTTCCACTTTGACTTCGGGGAGACTACAATAACGCTGCAGGACGTACAAGTCCTTTTTGGTCTCCCGATCGATGGAACGCCGTGTTGGGGACAGACAATTGACCACGAACCCCACGAATGGCAAGAACACTGTGTCGATTATCTAGGGTTTGAGCCCTCAGTCCAGGTAATTTTTTTCCTACATTTTTTTTTTTTTTGTTTATTCCATTCATTAATTTTCAATATATATATCACTCTCAGGCTGACGATGACCCGGAGGGCACCCGGGAACTTACAGGCCAGTTTTTGAAGACCTCGACAATTGAAAATGAGTGCTATAGACCGCTAACAAATGAAGAGCATCCCTCTTCTACGAAGAGAGAGGTGTACCGGGTCATTTTTCTTCCCCGATCAGAGGGCGAATGGGGTCATGTTGTACTGGATGCAGCACTTGCTTGAGATCGATGAGATCAAGCAGTACAGCTGGGGTTCAGCTGTCCTGGCCGGGGTTTATAGAGGGCTCACCACGACCGCCAGAGCCGGGAAAGGCTGGATCAAGAACTGTATTCAATTGATTTAGGTAAATAAATGTACTTACTTGTTATTACTCCATTCATTTTTTATTCTACTTTATCCTAATATATATTAACCAAATATTTATGTCGATATCTATAGGTTTGGGCATGGAAACGTATCCCTCGTATTAGCCCAAAAATGAGGGATACCAACTTTGACAAGAGTCCATGGTTGTCCCTTAGGAGCAAGGTAATCACATTTATTTATATTTAATACTTAGAATATTTTAACTATAAAATTTTGTGATTAGAATTTTTTTTTATGTGATTTTTAAGGTGGGTGGGACGGAGGAATATGAAACACATAGGAAAGGGAAAAACCACTATCCGAGATCAATTAACGTGGCTGAGAGAGAATGATGTAAGATTTTTATTAAGTAATATTGATTATTATGTATATTTGTTTTTCGTTTTTTATTTTTCTATAACTTAATAGTTATTATTATTATTTTTTTACAGTTCAATTGGGTGCCATATAAGCGCCTCCTGGACGAGGGTACTCTCCCGACCCCGTGTACAGAAGGTTCACACCTCTAGATGTATAGAGGGTGGATCTTCTGTTGGGACATTCGTGAGCAGCACCTGACTGATAGGGTCATCCGTCAGTTCGGGTGTCGGCAAGCCATCCCCGACACTCCAATCATTAGGGGTTTGGCTGAGTACCAGACACACCACCGAGGCTAGTGAATGAGTGGGAGGACATTCTATGATTGGGTGGAGTATCATGGAGCACTTGGGAATGTTTGGGTCCAAGAAAGAGCCCAACATGTCCTCCCACATTACCCTGTGGAGTCGTTCCTTGAGCCTGAGCTGGGTTACCTTGATTGGTTTCACTATAGGACTGTGAGACTAATCAGTAATCATGGCAACAACCCGGTGGTCCAACAGGAAGGAGGCTTTCATCCACTGTCCGAGCAGGGGATGTGCAGTGTAAGTGTTAATAAATTGTGTTTTTTTTATTATTATTATTGTTATTATTTTTTTTTGTTTAATGGTAATAATTTTCAATTTTTTTTTTCAGGTCAATGCCATGGAGGGGGTTTATAACTTGTTATCGACCCTTGACTTTAATGCACTCACTCCAGAGCAGCAGTCCATAATCGCACAGTCCCAAAACATGCTCTACAGTGGACCGACTGTCGGAGGACAAGGGGTCACGCAAGGGACGTCGTCAAGTCAAGTTCTATCTCAAGAGAGCTATGTCCGACCCCAACCGACGCAGTCGCACCGTGCGAGGCATCGACCTGCTGCCAATATTGGTGGGCGTAGAAGACGCTGTGTCCGCGAACTCGATGCCAACACCGTGCCAGCCGACACCGTGCCTCCCAATACCGTGCCTCCCAACACCGTGCCTGAGGAACAAGCAGAAGAAGGTCAGATCTTTTTTACTTCACTGCAATATGATTTTTAAATTATTTATTTATTTATTTATTGTCAAGTAGAATTTCTGATTTTCTTAAAATATCAATTTTTCAGATACAGAAGAAGAAGCTGCCATGCCCACAACCTCGTCTTCTTTACAGACGTACCAGCGTCGGAAGGGCTCCCGAGAGCGTAGACCTCCGGATCAATTCACTCCTAGCAACTATTAGGAAATTTATGGATATTTTTTTTTCTTGACTTTTGTGTAATTAAATTCACACATATTGGTATTTTGAATAAATTATTGTGCTTCAATTTTGTTCGTGGAATTGATATATTTTGGATGAATATTTGGTTGTTGAATATTTGGTTGTGG